GGCCGGGGAGCTGCCAACCCGCCCGCCTTTGCCACGTCAGGTCGCCGAGACGGCACCGATCCAGCTCCTCCTCCCCGCCGCGGCTGAAGGAGAGGCGGGATGAAGAGAAGAAGGAGATAAAGGATTCCAAAAGCAAAGAGCGTCAGATCACAGGTGAGGGGGTGGATTTTTGCCATTCAGTATGTCCCAGGCGCCGAATTCCCCGCGTGGGCTGGGAACAGCCCCGGGGTCACCTTTATTTTTGAGGCTTTTGCCGAACCCCGGTGGCGGCGTTGATCAAACTCTCGTTTTGTGGCCTCGGCAGAGGAAGATTTGCAGGGCAAGACGGAAGAGGAAATCGAGATGATGAAAATGATGGGCTTCGCCTCCTTCGACACAACGAAAGTGAGTGACCTCCCTCTGCCGGGCTCGGCACCGCCGTGCCCTTTTTGGGGAAATACGCTGAATTTTGAGACTTATTTTTTAATTTAATGCCTTTCAGGGGAAGAAGGTGGACGGTGCCGCCAACGCGTACGCCATCAACGTGTCCCAGAAGAGGAAGTACAGGTTTGTGCCCAGCCTGGTTTTTCAGTTCCGTGACGAGATAACGCTGCAGGGAGGAAACTCTGTGGCCGGACGTTGAAGCCGACGTCTCTCTGGCTTCTGGGGCCTTTGGGAAAAAGGCCAAGTTTGTGTTTTTTACTGTCAAACGGAGGTAAGAGGCCGCTGGTTCCTTCTGGAAACGGTGAAAGCGGAGAGATGGAAAGAGCAGGAGGTGCCGTGTGGGAGCAGCGAGCCTGAGTGGCGCTGCTTGCCTGTTCCTTACAGAAAAACCCCCAAACGCACTCAATTTGTTAATTCTGCTCTCTTTTTCGAGGGAAACCCGGGCGGACAGCCTGGCCGCGCTGCCAGGCCTCAGCTCCGGTTTTAGCCAGACCTGGCAAGCGCCAGGATCCTCCAGCGGTCCAGCTTGAGAGATGCCTCCGTGGTGGGAGTATTCCCACCCCCCTTTGTGCAAATCCATGGGGAATTGGGTTCCCTGTGGCCGCCGAGCGCCGTTACAGGCCTCCTTTGGGGGTTTTTATGGAGCATGGGAGCCCCGGGAAGGGGGTGAGTCCCCGGGGTCACCCCCTTTTCTCCGGCCGTAGGCAGTACATGAACAGAAAAGGAGGATTCAACAGACCCCTGGATTTCATCGCTTGA